TAGGGAAATATTTGTTTTATTAAATGGCTTGCACATAAAGTATATATGCACTCTACCATCCATGTAGCATGTTTTATTAAATGGCTTATTTATATTTTGATTGAATATTCTTTAGACATTAGAGATGATGATGCATATCATTATTTCAAATTCTAAAAACAAGTGCTTCATATTCATTCTGCAACATTTTGGTGTTTCTTTAGGAAGTACATGACTTATTAATAAGTATAAATACCATTGGGCCATAAGAGTGTATTTAAAAGTAATAAAAAAGTAATTTGAATTGTGTTTTTTCTTCTTATATTCCATGTAAAAATGTAAATATCAGGTTCATCAGTTAGCATACAATTTGTGTGGCTTAAAATTGACTACAATATCAACACTAACCAAAAAGTTTCTTCAACCCAAGGCCTACTTGTATTAGTAGTTATTTCAAGAGTTATAATTCAAAATTCATGTCTGTTTTCAAGGGCATCAATTTTACTTAGAAAAAGAGCAGAGGGAGCAAACAGACACTGAATCCAAGATAAAAAGATGATTTATTGCTGTGGCTTTCCTCTCTGTAGACTTTCTGTTCCCCTGAATGACAGTGGGAGTATTTAATTCAGAATGAATTCCTTGATCGATAAGGATCATCTTTAAGAGTGTCAGTCTCGGCAGATGGAGCAGGGCTGTCCGGCATAATCTCATGAGTATCTTGCTGGACCACCTGTTAATTTTCCCTCTGACACTTGCCTCCAGGTTTCTTTGGGATGAAAACGCACAGACACTGTCTTTCATAGTTTTCCAGCTTACAGCTTTCCTGCAGACAGCTGGTCTATGCTACCCCCCCCAAAAAAACCCTATACTTTATTGAAATATATTGTTACAAAGTGAATCTTCAATGTGCCTGTTCATAATCTTTCCCATATAATAATTTATATAATAAAATACTGAATCTAATTTTTCATGGCTTTAAATGAAACATTGCAGTGTGTGTGTGTGTGTGTGTGTGTGTGTGTGTGTAAGTAGTAGTAGTAGTAGTAGTAGTAGTAGTAGTAGTAGTAGTTTTCTTCCATCTCTAGTATTTCTCATGACTGGGAATTTTCTGATCCTCCCTGTCTCCCAAGATAGCTGTTGGCTGTTGACTCACTCCTTGGGTATCTGATGTTCAAAATAGCAATACTATCACACAGGGTCTTTTGCTATGAGAGAGTTTTAAGTGTAGTTGACATTGTCCACTAGGTCATTTTGGGTCCTTCAGCTTATGCAGTCATATGAGTGGAACTTTTTTCCTACTAGGCACAGGCTTGTCACTGTTTTATTGTTGCTGTTATTATCAAAAAATAGCTTATCAAGTAAAATTTCATGTAAACACATTTGTTTATCAAGGCCATTTTCTAACAATGAACATTGCACATTTCTTAGAATTTTAATTCTTGTATCAATAAAGAGACAAATAAATTGCCAGTGTAGAATAAATTGTAAAAGATTAGAAAATCAAATATACTTTATGCGTATATATGTATATATATCTCATAGATATTTTTGTGATCATGCAGTTTGGTTTTGTGGATAGACTTCTTTGTATCATAAGTAAGTCGTCATAAAGGGGAGAGCAAGAATTGAGTCTACATTTTGAGTCGAACAAATAGTCAGTCATTCTTGCATATCCACTTGCCAATATGATTTTTATTTCATGCAAGTCTATCAAAATGGGGTTTTCTGGGAATAGTTAAAAGGTTAAACACATTTCACAATAAGCCTTCATATTAAATGCAGTATAGATTTACTGAAACTATCATGAAGGACAAACCAATGCAATAAAGACTTCCATGTGTCCAAACCCATCAGTTTACTATGTGAATAACTACATGCCTGTGCATGTATACAATGTCTACAATCACTGTGAACTCTGAAAGGTTTTGTATCCACTTGCCACCTATACAAATTATAAATTTTTCTATCTTATTGTTCTTTAGTTTTATTTTTTCAGCTGGATAAATTGTTTAATTTTGTTTACCGAGTCATTACAGTTCCAACATTGAAAAAATATGAAGCTCATCCAGTGTAGCTTTTCTGGCAAGGATATCTTTTAAAATCATAAAGTATGTAGAATGTAACACTTATTGACAGATTGGTGAATTCTAAAGTAGTGAGAAGGGACATGGAAAGAAACTGGGAGAAATACTTAGAATGATAATAATAAAACATTTTTTTTCATTTTAAGTCTTTTCTAAAGAATATACACCTTTGAAAAATAACAAACACCTATGAGGTTGCTGATCACACAAAGAAATCTAGAACTGGTATAGAGAAAAATGTAAAATGTTTAGAAACTTAAAGAAATTGTCCTAGAAAAATATAGCTAAGTCTTACACATCCATACATATTTTACCCAAATAGTTAAATTATTCATTTAAATATACTAATTATTCTCTCACAGGCTTATTCAGTAACTTTGATAGAAGGAACTAAACTCTAGGAGCTTTAATATGCAGCCAAGCTATTACTGGTATATTCATTGAGGCTGGGAGGGTTGGGGCAGGGAGGAAAGGAGATGGGTGGAATCATTTTGGTTAAAATTTGGGGCCTGATTGGGGATATGGTGAAAACAGTAGAATGAACAGTTAACCAATCAATTGGTTCTATGTCAATAATTTGCCTTTTCAAAAAATTACACTGGCACCATTACTGAGGTTTGAGAGACTGTTAAAAATCCGTGAATGCTGAAACCTGTAGCCAAGGTGCTCCCTACCTGAGCTCATGGTGGCCCACAAAGGGCAAAGCCAGCTCCCAAGTTACCAAAGTTACCCTTTGAAGATGGGAACTGACTGAGGAGGGAAAGCTTTATTGAAGCGCATATACGGGCAGACCATTATGCTATGCTGTGGATATCATTCTGTATAAATAAAACACTGATTGGCCAGTGGCCAGACAGGAAGTATAGGCGGGACAAGGAGAGAGGAGAATTCTGGGAAGTGGAAGGTTGAGTGGGAGAGACACTGCCTCCTGTCACCATGACACGCAGCATGTAAAGATGCCAGTAAGCCACGAGCCACATGGCAAGTTATAGATTCATAGGAATGGGTTTAAGATATAAGAACAGTTAGCAAGAAGCCTGACATGGCCATACAGGTGTAAATAATATAAGAGTCTTTGTGTTTATTTTACAAATGGGCTGTCGGACTGCTGGGGCTGGGTGGGACTGGAGAGAAGCTCTCCAGCTACAATGCTAATTCCTGAAATTGAGAAAAAGACCTTTTTCCAATTATGAAATTATAAATATCAGTTTGTCCATCCAAGCCACTGGCTCAAGTACTGCAGGAGGGCCTATATGGGAGATGGGAGTGGAGGACCTATGCTCTTAGGGTGGAGACTCTTGGAGCCTGTTTTTTTTTTTTTTCTGTGTGTGTGTGTGTGTGTGTGTGTGTGTGTGTTGTTTGTTTGTTTTTTTGTTTGTTTGTTTCAGCTTTGAGCCCTGAAACTGTTTGTGGCAGGTTCAGTTACTGACAGCACAAATCCCATTGAGTCAATTCAAGGGCTGAATGACTTCACAAGCCCTGGTCTCAGGAGATTCACTTTCATATTGGGGTAGTGGTTCATTTGAGAATACAAACCTTCAGATTAACTATGTCCACAATACTGTCTTGAATCATGAAATCCATCAGTTTTTAGTGTTGTCTAGACCTGCATCTAGAACTACATTTTAAAATCTTTAAAGCATGTGTTAGATGTATGTGTGAAAATTTTGTTTAAATGTAAACTTCATACCATACTGTCAATTTTTGTCTTAATAAAATTATAGATTTATAAAAAAAATGTGCAGCCAAGCATCAGATTGAAATTTTATAATCTGTAATGGTAAATTCCAGAATGAATTAACTAAAGCCCAATAAGTATTTTCCCATCACAGACTTTGGATTGAATAGAATGAAGAATTCTCTGACTGCTCCACAGTTACGAGTTCAGGTGAGACCACCGGCCTCAGAGCAGCCATGGCCTAAAGGACAAAACATGGAAACCATCATTTCTGCTTTACATCTGAAGGACTTCAGATGCAACTCGAACATGTTCCAACTATTTTAACTGCTTCTTTTCCAAGGGGAAGTAGTTACTAGAGAACAAAATAAGCACTCCTGGTATTCTCCTGGGAAGGATACTAGAAACACAGAATAAGTATTTCATATCACACTTTTAGAAAAAGCCTATGGATTAAAAGAATCAAACACAGCAAACAGATCCTGATTACTTGCCCCTCATACCAGCTTACCCAAAATGACCATCTGTTATTGACTTTTGCTTTTAAAAATATTTAAATTTAAAAAAGTAAAAGCACTTAATTGAACTTCTTTATGATGAAGAACAAATAAAATTTGGGTAAGAGTAGTATCTTACCTTAGGACATAACTGAATATAAATTTTAGGGAACCAACATAATTGGAAAAAAGAAAATCAATTTAAATGTTTGCAACATAAATTCTAATTCCCTGCCTTTTAATTAGAAAACAAAACAAAACAAAAACAACAACAACAACAACAAATTGTTCTCTTTCTCACTCACAAACTCCATTCAAAACTTTGTAGCTTTTTGGTCTTCTCTATTTATTTCCCTGAATACAAATGACAGTGTACTACCAACCTAGTGTGGACACATGTTCATAAGCATAAATGCACATAATCTCTTCTGCCAACTGTGATTTTTAAATAGCTGTTGAATCTTATCTGCCCAATATTTTTTAAAGATTTACTTACTTTTAGTGTGTGTGTGTGTGTGTGTGTGTGTGTGTGTGTGTGTGTGTGTGTGTAAATGTGCGGATATGCACACATGTGTGCAGGTGCCTATGGCCACCAGCAGATGGCACTGGATCCTTTGGCACTGGACTTAACAGCTGTTCACCTTTTGAGGCCTTCAGAGAACTTGATGAGGCTGGCACACAGTGGATAGAGTATGATCAATGTTGATCCAGTCCACAAACACATTCATCCAGAATAACATTTAATGAAATGATAATGTGCTCCTTGGCCTGGTTAGTTTAGTGTGAGATATCATCTATGGCAACTTGTCATGACTTCAGATGCTCTGTGCCTCACCTGGAAGAAATCAAAGGATAAGGATTTAGAGAACAAACACCTTTACGCTACCAATGAGAACAGCTATTTGTAGTTTGCTACTAAGAGTGTGAATGTAGAATTTACAGCAATCTTTTATCCCATCAGTCATCAGTGGCAAACGGCAACAGGTGATAAACCTCACTAAAACACCTGTCTGTTGCTCAAGGCAGATTTTCAATTGATTCAGTCTTTCTTCTAGAATTTTTTTTTTTTACTGATAGTTACTTTGTATTTTTTTTCCTTTGTTTGCATAGCAAGTTTAAGTGAGAGAAAAGTTCTGGAAGAGTTTTCATTCTCTAAGAAAAACTAGAGATTTCAATGTATTGCTATCGTCAGTTGACCTATGAGACTCATTCTTTTTCTCATAAATTGACAATGACAATCATATTCCTTGATGCCATTGCTACATATATTATATATGTGTGTGTGTGTGCTTGCACATATGTATTATATATGTATGCATTTTCATCTGTTTATGTTTATATAGACTCATTCCATAATATATGTATGGTTCAGTGAGATTCCCAATGGTGAGCATTTTAAACTTTATTATTTTCTGATAATGAAACTAAACCACACAAAAGTTATGATAAATAAAATTTATAAAACACATGATTTGGATTATAGCCACAAAATCCTGGATGATATATATAAAACTCTAGTCATAGAGAATATTAGTAAATTTATTTTATGATTTAAAATCATCACAAAATTCCTCATAGAAATTAATTATTGTCAGACTGGAGAGATGGTTCAGCTGTTAAAGGCCAGTCTCACAAAAAGTAAGAAATCAATTATTGTCATATTTATTTTTAATGATGTCTTAAGCCTCCAAACCCACTCCACATAAAGGACCCAGCAAAAATCCACGGTCTTTGAGTGACACGTTTCCTCCCAGCCCAAAATGTTGCTAACGTTTTCCTGTCTGCCTTGGAAGGCAACTGTACACCACAGTGAATAGTGCTGACGTGTGTTTTGTTTCTAATACTACATGGTTGTTGAGACTATCTCAGCCCTTCTCAATCACTCAAAACGAAGATATTGGCTGGATTCCCCTCCCCTCACATCTATAGATCTTTGAACGATAAAGAGATGCAGTGCATGTCAATATCTGATTTTAGATTTCTAGCTTGCTAGAAAACCCAGAAACTTGAAAGTTCTTTCTGTGCTGAGTTTACAAGTTCACTTGATCCTCCGAGTTCAAAAAATGAGCTTTGGCAACATTTGACAATATTTTTTAGTTCTCCCACTCTAATTTCCGGAGTGTGCCATCTCCTCCTAGCTGCTGCATTAATAACAAGTTGCTAAGCTGAATTTTCTGGCACTGAGTGTCTTTCCTGAACAATCACGTCTTTATTTTTTTTTTCTGAAGAGGGGAAATGTATACTTTTTTTCCCTGGACTAATTTTAGATTGTTTTGTATCCAAAACATGGTGTTTTCCCTTGGAAAGAAATAACAGACTAACATGAAAGGTCAAGGAACTAAGCATTGGTTTCTGGCATGTTCTACATCCTGGTGGGAAGAAATCAGCTGTTTTTTTTTATACTGAAGTGGTTCTCACCACACTTTCCAGACATTCAGTTATCAAAGGTAGTAAGTGCCCCCTAGAAGTGAACTGAAGAAACAGACACGCTGCTTTGGGCATTGCATTCCACTTGCCCACCAGCACTTTTATGCATCACTGTGTGGGTGTTCAGCCTCCCTCCTGATGTGAGGTTTCACACTGGAACAAGGAACTTCACAGCGTTAACCAGCTGATGCTCCCACAGTACTGCGGTTCTCAGCCTGAGGGCTACCCTTTCAAACACACTATCTGTTTAGCAGGCTGCTAAGCTTTTAGTGGAACTACAGTCAGGATCATACTAAGTATTATTTGGAGCACTGGATTTTTATCTTATAGACTTTAGACCAAGCTGCTCTACTTTAATTCATGTGCACTTCTTAAATCTGATGTAAAACCCATTTTCTGAGTTGTGCTGGTTTTTAGATTCTGACATGCCTGTACCACAACTACTGATAACCATGAACCTCCTACTGGATACGATATTAACTCCAACATATAACTGTATTCCAATGTCTTTACTCATAGACTCGTTATCTTATTGCACAAAGAAAAATAAAGGACCTGAAAGATAGTGACTTGCCAGTGATATAATCAGAGTCTATAATTTATAAATGTAAGTTTCACAATCAGGTTGCCTTGGGTCAAAATTAGGTCTGAAAAGAAAGACTGATTTGAAGTTTTTTTTTTAATCTCTTCTCACCTCAGTTTCCTAATTAATAAAGAGAAAAGGAAGTAATAATGTTTATTTCAATGGTGTGGGATGAAGTGCATTACTATGTCTAAGGAGCATAGCTGAGTAGCAAATGTTTTAAAGTACCCAAGACATAGGTAGAACTATTATTATTACCTATGACCATGAGACAGTGAAATTTCAGTCTGACTGACAGAAATAAACACCACCAAGGGATTTATAGTGAGAACAACTTAGCTCCCATCACTCCCCATATGTCAAAACATGTATGTCCAAGTTTTATAGTTATAATACTCAGTATACCCCGATATGATTATGATAGATGTCAAAGAACTTTTAAGTTATATATCATTATTTAATTATTTATGATTACGTTTAAATCTTCTCTTCACTGAGATACCATCTTAACCTGTCAGAATGGCTATGTTTGTAGCAGTGTTGTTCCTAATAGCCAGAATCTAGAAATAACCTAGATGTCCCCCATTAAGAAAATGTGTTACATGTACACAATGGAGTACTACTAAGCAGAGAAAAACAATGGCATCATCAAATTTGCAGGCAAATGGATGGAATTGAAAAACATCATCCTGACTGAGGTAACTCAGACTCAGAAGGAGAAACATAGTATGTATTCATTCATAAGTGGGTACTAGATGTAAAGCAAAAGATAACCAGACTACAACCCACAGCTCCAGAGAAGCTAGATAACGGGGAAGACCCTAAGAGGGACACATAGATAGCCCAGCGAAGGAGAAATAGATGAGATCTACATGAGCAAGGGGGTGAGGGGGATAATGGAGGGCAAGAAATGGGGGATGAGAACATGAGGAAATGGGAGGTTCAAGCTGGAACAGGGACAAAGTGGGAGAGCAAGGAAAGAAATACCATGATATATGAAGATATCATGGGAATAGGAAGTAATGGGGTACTAGGGAAGTTCCCAGGAATCCACAAGGATGACCCCACCTTAGACTACTAGCAATAGTCAAGAGGGTGTCTGAACTGGTTTACTCTGGTAACCAGATTAGTGAATACCCTCTGTCATCATAGAGTCTTCATCTAGTTACTGATGGAAGCAGATGCAGAAGTGTCAGGCCAAGCTCTAGGCTGAACTCCAGGAGTTCAACTGATGAGAGAGAGGAGGGATTCTACAAATAAGGGACAAACACTACGATCATGATGGGAAAACATACATAGACAACCAGCCACACTAGTGGAAACCCATGAACTATGGACCAATAGCTGTGGAGCCCTCACAGGACTGGACTGGGCCATCTGGATAGGCGAGACAGTTGTTTAGCTTGAACTGTTTAAGGGGCCCCCAGGCAGGGGGATCAGGATCTGTCCCTACTGCATGAGTGGGCTTTTTGGAGCCTAGTGCCTAGCATGTGACTTCTGGCACAGCCTTGGTGCAGCGGGGAGGTGCTTGGACCTGATTCAACTGAATGTGCCAGGCTCTGCTGACTCCCTATGGGAGACCTTGAATTGCAGGAGGTGGGAATGGGGGATGGGTTGCAGAAGAGGGCTGGGGGACGGGCAGAAAGGGAAGAGGGGGGAATTTGTATGTTTTATCTATCTATCTATCTATCTATCTATCTGTCTGTCTATCTATCTATCTATCTATCTATCTATCTATCTATCTATCTATCTATCTATCTATCTATCTATTTATTGAGACAGAGTTTCTCTGTATAGTTGTAATACCTGTTCTGGATCTCACTTTGTAGACCAGGCTGGCCTCAAACTCAGGGAGATCTGCCTGGCTCTGCCTCCCGAGTACTGGGATTGAAGGCATGCGCCACCACTGCCTGGCTGGGATTTGTATTTTATTGAGTATTTTTGCATCAATGTTCATGAGAGAGAATGGTCTGTAATTCTCTGTAATTCTCTCTTTGTTGCATCTTTGTGTGGTTTGGGAATCAGAGTAACTGTAGCCTCATAAAAGGAGTTTAGTAACATTCCTTCTGTTTCTAATGTGTGGTACAATTTGAGGAGTTTTGGTATTAGCTCTTCTTTGAAAATCTGGTAGAATTATGCATTGAAACCACCTGGTCCGGGGCTATTTCTTTTTTTTTTTTTTTTTGGTTGGGAGACTTTTAATGATTGTTTCTATTTCCTTAGGGGTTATTGGTCTATTTAAATTGTTTATCTGGCCATGATTTAACGTTGGTATGGAGTACCTATTTAGAAGAAAATTGTCCATTTCCATTTAGATTATCCAATTTTGTGGAGTACAAGTTTTTGAAGTATGACCTGATGATTCTCTGGATTTCCTGTTTGTCCGTTGTTATGTCTCCCTTTTCATTTTGGATTTTGTTAATTTGGATGCTCTCTCACTGCCTTTTGGTGAGTTTAGATAATGACTTGTCTATCTTGTTGATTGCTTCAAAGAACCAACTCTTTGTTTCATTGATTCTTTGTATAGTTCTCTTTGTTTCTATTTTATTGATTTCAGCTCTCAATTTTATTATTTCCTGGCATCTATTCCTCCTGGCTGAGTTTGTTTCTTTTTGTTCTAGAGATTTTAGATGTGCTGCCAAGTCACCAGTGTGAGAATGCTCCAACTTCTTCATGTGGGCATTTATTGCTATGAATTTTCCTCATAGCACTGTTTTCACATTCTCCCATAAGTTTGGGTATGTAGTATATTTATTTTCATTGAATTCTAGGAAGTCTTTAATTTCTTTCTTTATTTCTTCATTGACCCATTGGTGATTCAGTTG